TCCAGCCTGGGGACGTGTCCGAGCGCCAGAGCGCTTCCCCGGGACTGCTCAGTGTGGGGAGCAGAGCTTCACGGCGGGCCCCAGCGGGCGGGAGGCTGACGAGCAAGGCTCTGCGATCGGGCGCGGAGGCCAGGACGGCTATGGGCAGCATCTGCTCCCCGGCTCCGCCGGCTGAGTCCCCACCCCACCCAGTCCCGCTCCAGTAGTGCCGGGCTGGGCCTGGCCCACCAGCTCTGGCCCCTACTGTTTTGCCCTTGGGTGCTGCTAATTCCTCCTCGTCCCCAGCCCTGTGCTGGGGGTGAAGTGGCTTCTGCCTCTCTGGACCAGGGTGTGGGGGACTCAGCTCAGAAAAGAATGCGCTTGGTCAGCAGCGCCCAAAATACCCGTGTCGGGGCAGAAATTGGCCTAGGTCGATAACACTCTAGGAGAAAGTCTCTTATTTTGTACATAAAATAGAATCTTGCACATAGTAGGCATCCAGTAAGTATTGAATGACTTTTGAGTTTCCATGTGTAAAGGGTTAGGGTTTTAGAAAGCTGGAACAGAGGGCTTTGGAAGAAAAAGACCTGGGAATCTGCCATCAGAGGGGGAAGGAGCTAGGACTGTTTTCCCATCTACTGAGACTTTTGTGATCATCACCTACTTGCCTGGCTTCTGGACCCTTGGCTCTTAAAACGACTGCAGTGTGATCTTTTATGGAGGGCCCTGCCAGCCAGCGCCTGAATGAACCTTGGTATCCTCGGGTACTGAACAGAATTACTGTACTTTGAAGTCTCTGTGATCTTCCTCTGAAAAGTAGTAGCTAAGTATAGACAAACCTAGCTTTTTGAATTGCCACCAAGCTCCTATGTTCTTAACTCTATAAGGGTTGTGGACCTCTTTGAGAATCTGACAAAAGTTACTGAATCCTTTACCTAGAAAAAATATATAAACACGCGCACTCTCCTTGAGTATAATAGTATCATTAGAGACTAGGAGTCTGGCAGCCCTGCCCAATTGTCAACCTGTTTCTCTAGGAGTCGAGGACAATGGTTTATAATCACCTTCCTTTTAGAGGAATCAAAGACCCTTCTACATCTTTTGGGAAGTTGATAAATGTTGTGGATCTGTTTCTCAGGAAAAAACACTACCCACTCACACACATGTGGGCATGTAATTTGGGGGGTGGCAGTCATGGATCATTAAAATTTAATCTCATATTCCAGATTAAGACCTTTCACCTAGCGGCAAATAGACACATTTTTATCCCTAGCTCTCTCCATAAGGAGAACCAGTTAGCTTGCAGCCTGGATCATGCCACTACCCTGTCCCAAGGTCATCTGCCAGCATGTGGCATGGGCCTGGCAGCCAAGAGACTGTCTCCACAGTGGTCCTCTGCATCTTGGTTCCTGGTGTTCTCTTAGTGTGGAAATAAGTTGCAGGTTGTCAGATTCTGTCTGATCCTTAAGCATTTCTCAGCCAGAGATTCCAACTTGAGGAGACAGCAAGTGACTGGTAATTAACCAGTTTCACTCAATCTGAAGCATCTGAGCACATTTCTCTTGATTTTGTTCTCACCTTTCTCTCTGCCTGGGAAGCTGTGAGCAGCAGCCCCAGCTGTGGAGCTCACCTCACCCAAACTTGACAGATTTAGTAACCTGTGTTGTAATTATCAGCATTAGCCATCCAGATGTGAATAGATGCTCTCACACTTTCCTGCAGCTAGCCAGGAAAGGGTACAACAGGCCAGAGGTTCTGGAGGACAGAGAAATAGGAAATGACAGACATTCTATCCAGGAAGTTGTTGAGAAAACGCATTCTGGTTTCAGCACTTGAACTTAAGGCTGGAGCCCAATAGGCTGGGCAGTTCTGATCCTATAATTCCTAATTCCTCTAAAGTCTTCCATGTTCATTCTGAAACCCTTGAAGCCAGTAGCATTTTAGAATTCAGAAAGGGAGCAGCTGTGGGACCATCCCAAGTCTGGGGCCATCCCATGAGACCTGGAGCAGCCAAGCCTAAATCAGACACATTCATATTCCTTAAAGGGAAATGTAGGAATTTTTATACTAAGTGGGTGTGAGGGTAAAGTGACTTCATATAGATAATGTTTTGTCGCCAGAAGATGAGTTGTGGCATCAAACTTGGAAAAACAAAACAAAACAATTAAGACCCTAAATCTTTTAACATTACGATTTGCAAATAAAGAGACTGTAGAATGGTATTTTAGGCTTGACTGTCCCAAAAGAAATGAACGTTTTATGAGGGTATGGAGAAGCAGCAATAGTGAAAATGAGAAATCATAAACTGAAAGACGAGAAAAGTTTAAGAGGTAGGAGGAAGTAACTCCTTAAACCAAGCATGTCATAGTGTAGCCCCTTCCCCAGCAGTACACATGGATCAAACAGCTGACAGTGTTCACTTACAGTGGTGTGGATGTGGCCCGCAGGTGGCAGATGTACAGAATGGCCTTTTAAGGGGATTCTCAAAAGGGGTAGAGAGGGACAGAAGCTCCCTTAGAAAAGCTTCAAGCCCTAGCTGACAGCTCATTCCAGGTTCCATAGAGGGATATGGCAGACACAGGAAGGAGTCTCACATGGCCAGAGAGTTAACTTAGTACAGCTTGAGTTGGGAGCAACAGGCAAGTTGACAGGCAGTGTGCAGGCAGGAAGGGGCGCTAGCAAAAGGACATTACGGAATCCTGGAAGCGGCTGGGTAGAAAGGTCAGCGATCCTCAGGGCTGGGGGAAATCTGGGGAGGAGGATGGAAGCAAATGTCTGTTCATGTGTTAAATCTGTGGCAAGATGGCTTGGAGTGTGGGTGCTTGCCTGTCTCTGCATGGATGTGCTTTGGGGTTTCCCCATACTGTCATCGGGGTGGCTCTGCAATCCCAGAGGCTAAGAGTAGGACGCAAAGAGAGAGATGGGGAAAGGCAAAGCCCTGGAGGACCCCTCACTGTACAGCTCTCTCTCAGCTCTCTCTGCTTGCCTGAGATGCTCAGCCAACGATGTCCTCCATGATAAGGGGGTCCCTTGGAACTCAAGATGAACAGCAGAGTCTTTAGGTTGGTCTTGCTGCTCTTGTTCTTTCTCTGCCTTTGTTCCTAAATCCTAGCACATGACTCTTAAACTTTTTCTTCTAACAGAGTTCTGTCTGATTTTCCCAGCTCCAGTAAGTGGGTCTCTACCTCCTTCTTGCTTCCTGGTGACACAGGTCCTTGGGGTCTAGAATTCTGGGATGTGGGTACTTTAGTTTCCTCCCTATTTTTGCTACTAGCTGCTCCATATTCCTGACATCACTGCCTTCTCACCCTCTGCCAACTGTCTCCTGCCGGCTTCCTTTGACAGCCCCCACCCTGACCCACTGCCTGTTGCCAGGACACCACCCCTCCTCCCAGGTCCTGGCCTTACCTTGGTGGGCAGGACTTGCCTTAGGTTCCAGCCTCTCCTGGTGTAGCATCTGCGGCTGCCAACCCAGCCAAATTCCTAACAGATGCATGATCTATTTCATGATCCTGGCTTAAAGAGGAAAAAAAAAGAAAGAAAAAAAAGGAAAGGAAAGGAAAAAAATCCCTTCAGCAGTTGGGTAGTGGCATCAGAACCAGACATTAACCACAAATGCTAGGAAGATCTGGGCCAGGGACACCTTTGCTGGTTTCACCCAAAGGAAAAGAGAGGAATAAGGGAAAGTGAACAAGAGTATGGAAGAAAGAAAAGGAGGGAGAAGAATCAGGAGAAGAGAGAAAGGAAAGGGAGGGTGTTGGGGATGGGCAGAAAATGTAACTTGTTTACTTTGTCGAAATTGAACGTGGTGATCCTGTCAGCAACAAAGAGACAAACACCCACATGAAATAAGACGGAAAGGGAACCTGGAGTGGGGGTGGGGGTGAAGGGGAGGGAGGAGCGAGAGGGAAGAGGGACAGAAAGGAGGACACAGGAAAAAGGGAGAGGGAGAAGGGTGGAAATGGACTCTCCAGGAAGACAAATAAGTACAGGTGAACAAACCTGATGGCATCTCAGGAAAGGAACCCATGTGCAGAGGGACATTCTTCCTTCCTTCCTTTTTTTTTTTTTTTTTTTTTTTTTTTCTGGGAGCGGGGATCACACTCCGATCCTTGAGCTTGTGAGGCAGGCAGCAGAACCCCTGAGCCACATCCCCGGCCCAAGGGACATTATTTCTGATTGCTCCATCCCGATTGCATTAACCTAGGTTGTTGAACATCTTCTTCACCAACTGCCCATGTCCGTACCTCTTGGTTCTCCACTGATTTGTTTTGAAA